GGCGGGGGGCGGGGCGGAGGTGTGGCGGGCGGGCTGCTTGGGTCGCGAGCGCCCCTCGAATTTCTGCATTAAAAATAGCTTGTTGACAACCGGATTTCATGGAATTTTGATGCCACAAATTAGACACGATGCAATTTAGGCACCTCATAGGCAAAGTTGAAAACGTCGCCTAAGGTTTTGCTTTTCCCGGCGCGCGGCGGACCAAAACTCCCCTCGCAGCAGTTTTCATGAGTACGATCAAGTGAAGCCGAATCTGATGCGACTTCGCTTCATTTGCGACAATGCACCGAGAGGGACTGGCAGCAAACGGAGAGCCAAGACGGAACGAGGACAGCAGCCCTGGTTGCAACATGGCTTGAAACCTCCGTGCGTGTGCAAATATTTGCTCAGACGGAGATGGCAAGAAGAGCCCCGCTGGGTCCGCGCACAGAGACCTCACCCAGCCAGCCCCTGCTGCAGCTCGACTGCCTCCGAACTTGGAGGCTCCATTTAGCCTGTCATTCAGAGCTACTTGCTGAAAGGTTTACCCGCCGCGGACGTGTCTCCCCGCCCTTGCGCTGGCCCGCTCTCGGCAGAGCGAACTCCATCGGATCTTCTTTGCCCGGCAGACGCATTTCTCTTGGTCTGCACTAAACCAAGCCCCCCATCTCGGCACTGGGGGGGGGGGAGGAGTTCTCAAGCCTCCCGCGCGTCTTCTCATGATTTCACAACAGTTCACGGCGCTCGCCACACTACTATCTCCTAATCATGCCGTTATTGGCCAGCCTGGCTGGGGATGATGGACCTCCAGTCCAACAAGTATGTGGCAGTCTACACTGCTTCCTGCAGAGGAGGGATTCCCAGATTCAAGTCAAGCTGCCGGCAAGATCCTTGGAAATGTTTCCTGAGGTCGTTTTGGCCCGTGTTCCAGAAACCACTAACTAGGCAATCGGTCCCACTAGGCACAGTAGGAATCGCTGCAACTGTAGTTCACATTCCCCCCCGCAAAGGTGAAGGCAGCACCCCTGGTTCTTGCCCCCACCGAGCTATTCCCCCCCTGGGAGCTAGCGAGGCTGCAACCTGAGGACTCGCCCCATCACAGCCGAGCAGGCAGTGAAATCCAGGGCTGGGAGGCTGCAGCCCGACACCCGCCTCCGCTCTCTGCAGACGGGCACGACTCTGCGGTGGGCGACTTGTTCCCGCCTGTCCTCCTCTTTCCCGCAGCCCCCAGTGCCCGGGTGCTGCTCCTGGGAGACTGGAAGCCCGGCCTTTCCCGCGATCCACGAAAATGCCCCGCCGCCTTTGCATTTTCACTCCTTTCCACAACAATCCCGGAACAGGAGAGCAATGCCTTGCACAGGTCTCCAGAAAGCTCGCAACCAGCAGGAACGAGGTGAAAACGGCCATTGCTACCCACTCACAGCGCCCGGCTCGCTTCTAGAAGAGGGGAGTAAACACTGATCCACAAGTAGAAAGCCTCAGAAATGGGTCACTAATAAAGGAAATTAAGTCCCGAGTATTAATTGGCTCCAATTTCGAAGATACAGCTTCAGGTCAAAACTGCATCAAAATAATTCAAAATCATGAGGGGGAGGTGTGATTATGCTCCATAACTTTTCTGCAAAAGGTGATATAGCAATGAGAATGGTGCCACACCAATCATTATAAATTTATCTTTTAATTGATACCAATAACACAGTTTTCCATTCAGTTATTGATTTTTCATGTATCATTTACGGAACCGGATCTTTTTGGCGATCATGGAAGACAGAGATCTTGACATCACCCTGCAGGAGGTTCCACTGTGGCATTCGGGAGCCCAGCTCTGCCTTGCACTTAGGCAACTCCAAACCCCTTTAGCTCGCTCTGTGGATCGGATGTGGTTCAGGAGCAGCATATGGCGGGCTAGAGTCTGGGTCCGCTGACACCGGCAGCCCCGGAGCAGCTGCTTCCTGCTCATCGTCTTTCCCATCATCTGAGTAGAGAGAGTGGGATTCTGTGGGTCTGGAATTGGCAGGCCCTCACCATGGGGGACAGGACGCAGCACGGATGGCATGTTTGGGTATTCCACAGTCCACTTCTTCCCGAGATCCCTTTCGCAATTGGGGGGACCATGCAAAAATAGCAGTCACTATTATGATGGGGGGGTTCCCGCCACACCATTGGGACTGCGAAAGGCATGGACTTTTCCTTCTTGTTAGCCAGTGACGCAGATCAGTGGCACATGTAATGCAACAATAATGGGGGCCCAACTCTTGTCCTGAGCCCCTACTTGGCACCCAGAATATAGGTGGTCCGCCTTTTTTACCACTGCCCTCATGCTGCATTGCTGAGATGCAAATGGCACCTCGCCACAAATGCAGCAGAAGTTCTCTACATTGTCTGCACAGTTTCGAAGCATCTTGGCTTCTGAGGGAAAATATCGCACAACTGTTCCTTGGAAATGTTAGGCAATGACACTCTCACAAGCCACCAGATCTAACTGTATGATGCGCAGATCTGACCAAGACAAATGCACCTTGTAATAAAAGATAAATGACAGTTAGGTAATAATCTTTAGTCTTAAAGTGAAGATAAATGTACACACTTCCACGTGGTACCATTTTCATTGTTCTACCGTACTTTGTCGAGAAGTTACAAGGCACCAGACACCTCCCTCCCTTCTAGGCAAATATACTCACCTGTGTATAAATCTTTATTGTGAAATATCTTGACAACTTTAGCCAACCAGCACCTTTATCACCTGCTTTCTAATTCATCTAATCAAAATATGTAAGAATTAGCACATTTTATTTTGGCGGTCAATAGTTTCCCGAAATTTGTAGACCAGTGTTATGTCCATCAAAACAGCTGTCTTGAGGGGTTCCCCAGACATGGCAAGCAAGTTTAGTTTTTCCCCCGAAGCGACCACTTCAGGTGTTCCCCGGCTCTTTAAAATGTTCCCCCAGCCTGTTCAAAAGCTACCTTAGATTTGCCAGTACTCAGATTTGCCTTTTTCCCCTCAGATGGCCATGATCCCATGTCAGCAATGAGTGGGGAACATGGGCCACCGCCAGCAGCTTTTGTCCCTTCTGCCATCTCCTGTCTTACTCTCAGGGAGCACAGACCCCACCTCTGCCAGTGGGTCCAAACCGATGCTACACAGAGTGTTTTTAAGATCAGACTGTGGACCGTGCGTTCCTCATTCCCGCTACAGTGCTGAGATGCGGTGGGCCAAGCATCATGGGCATCCAGAAAAGGCACCTTTGCAATGCAAATATTATTTATTTTTTCAAAGATACTGCCAGCGAACATGCACAGCCCATGCTGCCCAGTCACCACACCGGGGAGGAAACGCTTTCCAACTGAGCCTCTGGGCTGTGTTTCGGTCATGCGCATGAGCACACGTTCTGCAGCGTTCGCTTGCAATTGATCCCACGGAGGCTGTCCTTTGACCAACTAACAGCTTCTTCAGGCCCTGCGTGGGGTCTGCTGATGCCTCCACGGGAGCGTGCCAGCGTCAGGCCAGATTCAAGCAGCACAGCAATACTGGAGGGCGATGGAGGCAGTCCTATACTCCAGTATTTACGTGCTGCTAGAGCGAGGCAGACGGGTGCTTCCCTCCTGGAGGACCCCATGACAAACTTTGCCCCTTCTGAACAGGGAGCCCTGCAAGAGATTCAACAGGCAGCCTGTTTTCCTGCTCAGCCATTGCTGCAATTCTCTTGCTCCACACGGTTCAGGAGCTCCTGATCAATTTCAGAGGAAACCGCAGAGAGACTGTCTGTGCAGTTTTTTTAGCTTGGGCGTAAGATCCACTGAAGATCCATTTTTTAGCTTGGGCGTAAGATCCACTGAACTGAATTCAAAGGAACTGGCTTCCAAGAAAAACATGGTTACTGTTGGTGTCCTAAGTGTGCAGTCCTCAGAGTACTTGTTTCTTGTGTAACACACTCTTTAGGATTTCATGGGAGCAATGACTTCTACCAGGCCCAGACACCCCTTTGACCCAACAACCTGGACACTGTTGGTCCAGCTGCCCAACATTCTGGGCTTGGGGAGTGAGAATTCAGTGTATGCAGGAATGCCCCCAAGCTTTATTCCACACACCATGAAAACCAAACACTAAGTAAAAAAGCTAAACTTTGGACACTCTTTTTGGCATGCATTGTTTTACATTTGGGAAGAACATGAAACATAAGAAAACAGTAATGAAAATCTACCTAAAAATAACTGATCATGCAAGCTAAGGGATGCAGACATGGAATTTTTACTAGTTTTGATATCCAGAGGATCATCTTTCCTGTGTTAATCCCTGAGGTGGTGATGCAGCCCAGAACGGTCTGTATCTTCTTGTCCCTACAAACCATGTCGTGCTGCTACACCACCGCAAGGCCTACCATCTGGGAGGCAATCCCCAAAGCAGAGTGGGTGGTAAACTGAGCCAAACAACAGGGCTACCAAAGTCACTAGTCCTCTTCTCTCCTCCCTGCCTCTACCACACATATGGAGAAAGCTCAGGAATGGAAGCAGAACAAGCAGTTACAGCAGAAAGGCAACCGAATATTAAACCAAAGTTCCATGAAGCACACGAGGAGCTAAGAGTTAATACATTCACACAACTCAAAATGATCCTAGATGGCTGGGCAACTATGGCCCAGACAAACAGTATCACTCTTCACAAGGGCTTATGCTAGCACAAGAATAGTATAATTGTCACATTTTTACCACTGAATCTCTATTATGCAGAAACTACTGCAGCCCTTCCAAAAGTGTGTTCACTGCAGCTGTATAAGCAGCATCCAGGAATGCAAATTTTACCATGAGTTCACAGGCAAAGCTTAATTTACTCCAGGAGAAATGCCAGCCAACAAAGACAGACATACAAAAGACGTCAGTATATTTAGATAATTAGGTGGTTCAAATGGCTGGTATTGTACAATCTACAAAGAAAAAAAAAGTTTACCTTTTGTGCGCCCACCTGCAGTTGTGAATTGCAAAGTTACACTCTGTGTGTGAGGTGACCGCCAAATACAACTGCTATTCTGGAGATTTTTCCAGAATGATCCTGTAATATTTGGCTGTGCAAGGTAACCTTTATAAACCTATAGTATTTTTAAAAATTTTGCAGCAGTACTGGAGTACCAGGAAAAAGCTCCCAGTTTTCATTCACATAAAGTTGGACTTTCTCCTCCCTAGTTCTAAATTTACTGTGAAATTAAATTATTGCAACACATCAGTTGCTGCATACAAAAATCACAAACTATATAGCCAGATTTATTTTTTACTGGCCTAATCTTCAGCTAAAAACATTACACTTTATAATTAAAACATTAGCAGTTCCCCCCAGGTTAGTACGCTCCAGATGTGTTGAACCACAACTCCCCATGGCCATGCTGGCAAGGAATGATGGGAGCTGCAGTCCTACATACCCAGTGGGTGGAGGCTGCCCTGTTATGCAGCCATTCAGTAAACACAACTATCTCCACTTGAGGAGCCTCCATGCATGCATATAACAATCGGCACCTATTTGGGCGGTCTTTCTTTCTTTCCATCCATCCGTCTGGACAGAGAGACAGACAGCCAAAACAGGTGTCAATAATATCACAACTAGCACATTAATTTGTGGCCTGTGAAACAGTGGTTAGAATACTCACTTGAAGTGGTGCAGTTTTTGGGGAAAAAAAACCCTTAGCAATATTGTGTTAAGTTGTAGCATGCCAAACTGTTTCTTACTGAATGTTTCTTTCTTTCTTGTTTTGAAAAGTCTTCATAATGTCTCAGGGTTGTGCTACTTTGTCTGTAGGTAGGAAAAACCATTTTTAAAGATACACTTCTGGGAATAAGCAAGCCCTGTGTGTGTCATTTTTCTCCTCCTGCAGACACTCAGCAGGGCAATGTCAATCCAGTCCACCAGCGTTTTAATGCCTGGCCGCAACACACACAGTTGTCAGTGCTTAAGGAGCAGGGCTTGGTGAGATCACCTCTTGGGGACATTGAATAGCACTTTGGTGCACAGCTTGGCTCAGGGGTGGGCAACGGGGAGCCATCCAGATGATGATGGACTGCAAGGTCCATGCCTCCTTGTGTTGGTCCTGCTGACTGGGGATACTGGGGGTTACAATCTCTGAAGGGATACAAGCTGCCTGCTGCTGCATCCACTACTAAGGCAGAAAAGAATCCCGGGATTTTGCAGCCAGATTTCTACTTTGCTTTTTCTTGAGCAATGAGAGGGGAAGAAAGGACACTATCCCACCGGGCTACACTCTTTTCTTTTCCTCTTAGGCAAGGTGGGTTTCTCCCAGCAGCGAGGAAAGCAGGGAAATGCGGGACATTTGAGCAAGCTTTAAGCTACTGGCTCAGAAGAGCTACTGGCTCAATTCAAAGCAGGCAAGGACGTGTCCCCAGTTCGTTTTACTCACCTGTCCCAGCTCACCTTTTGTGCTAGAATGTCTCCTTGGACCTATTTATCTTCAGTGGCATCACAGACTATATTTAAAAAAAAACCACAAAAAGTTCTTACAAATGGATTCAATACATGCATCGAAATGCTGTGATGCACCATCTAACCAAACCTTTAGACCTATGTGCACCAACAACTGTTAGAGGAAGTTGTATGGGCTTTTTTTTTAACCACGGGGAAACCCCTACACTCCCAGATACACCAAGCCCAAAAAAGGCCAGTTATGCAGATGTTTCCACACGGCCGTTCCCGTTTGCCGCTTTGCTTTATTCCTCTCTCAAAGCAAAGACTACTGGAACAGTTACCCTGAGAGCTGAAGTTAAGCATCAGTTAGCCCCACCGGTGTCAGAGGCACACAAGAGCGGGGATTCCTCTCCTTGGGATCAGAGGAGTCCAGAAGTGCGCACGTTGGCTGGGCTTATGCATGGATGCATGGTGCATTCATTATTGCAGTTAGTAAGACAGTACAAGGCACGGTTCCCAAGGAAGCCAGAAATGACCTCTGATGAAGTGACTCCCTTTCATCAAGGAACAACCTGGGGGTGCCTAGTAACAAGTTTCTGGACAGCTTGTGCATCCAGGGAGGCACCTGTCCATTTGACTGCACTTGACATTTGAGATATATAACATTTGACAAGATCCTACCATGGACCCTCTTTACAGATGCACAATCCCTTGATGTTGTGGTCATCTAATGACAATATGCATGTGTGAACCAGCTCTTGGAGAGGAAAGGAGGAGCGGCCATGACACTCACCTCACCCTGTGGATTCAGCAAAGGCAAAGAACTGCATCCAGTGGAAAAGGTCACAGCGCAAGTGCTGCCTGATACTCTAGTGGGGACAGAACCAGTGCCTGAAATTGTGAAATGAGAAAACAGACTTAATGGTTGCAGACAGACATCTGTCAAAATAAAATAAAGAGTTAGACACAGATTGCCTTTACAGATGTGCAGCATGATTGGCCCCTCACTCCGCCCTTCAGCCAGAGAAAGGGCAGAAGAGAGACTGCCAAGATACACGCTTGGGCTGCTGGCAGCCCATCGAGCAAACAAAGGCTGGTGTTTGTGGCATCTTCCAACTTTCCCTCCTCCGCAGCTCTGTGGCAGAAAATACACCATAATCATCCAGAAAGAAAGACATCCCCCTGCAAGTTCGCCCCCCCCCCCCACTTTGGGAGGCAGGAGGAACTTCAGAAGCCATCGCACAAAATGCACTGCAGTCCCATCCTACTAGCATTTTAATAATTCCTGTTTAACAGACCAAAACTTGAGTTTTGCAGAGTTCATGGCTTGCCTGTGACTTGGTCTGCCATAAACAAAGAACGAACCACAAGGGTTTTTAATAAATCGGAACCAAGGAATTCTCAGTTTCAGTCGCACTTTTGACAAGGACATTTGCTAGAGAAGATTTTTGCCAGATTACGGGACTTTTCAGGGTATTCACAAAGGGCTCTCTCTAACTACACTGGGAACCCTGGTCTTGCGGGTGATTCAGCAAGCTTTTCATGTGGATTTAAAATGTAGGACAATCATATTTAGGCCAGCCATGCTAACCAGTCCAAATCCACCCAAATGAATAAATGTTGAATCTGCAAAAATGTTGACTAGTTCACTGCAAAAAAAAGGGGGGGGGGGCTGCAAACGAAGGAGGCGAAAGCAGTTGCACGAAGTCACCTCTCAGCCACTGCAGAACTTTGTACTTTCAAAATTCTTGCAAATCTCTCCCATTTCTTAGCCATGGAAATGCGCACACATTCACAGATCTGTGTGCTAATTTATGCTGAGATGTACATAAAGTAGCAGACATTTCTCATGAACATGTAAGCCATAATCTATACAAGACTCTAAGAAAAGGTTTGCTGGATCAGGCCGGGGTTCCTAACAGCTGCTCACAAAGTAGTCCAACAACTGCCTATGGGAGCCTAAACAGGACATCAGCCTAAGAACACCCTCCCGCCCATGTTCCCCAGCACTGGCGCACACAGCCACACTGCCTTTGGTACTGGAGGAAGCACAAATCCATCAGGCCTAGGAGCATGGATCGCCTTTTCCAGTTTCCTTTTAATGCCAAAATTGGCAATAGTACTACATCTTGTGATTGCTTAACAATCTGATCTGCTGACTTCCTCACATCTGCAAGGCGCATTCCCTGTAACCCAGGCCCATGGGAATTGCTCCTGCAGACCCACTGAATTCAATGGGTTGGATGGGAGCCCACGTACCCCTGGTGCAGCTCCCATTCATTTCAATGGCACTCATGTGGAGAAGTGTGATGGGTTTAAAGCGACAGCACTACATTTAGGCTGTCTTCCTTTACATAGTTACCTGGGAGTAAGCCCCATAGAACTCAACGGGACTTATGTCTGAGAAGACATAGGCTTGCATAATTAGAATTTATATCACACATACACTGAATTACCCTATCCCAGTAATACAACAGAAATAATCAGACCTACAGGTCTTCAGTGCGTGGAAAAAAAGCACTATTGATTTGGGGGAAAGTTACTACTGATTTTGAGCAAACTTACCAAAATGCAGCTGCCAAATCATCTTGTGTTTGGGAAATTGCTTTGAAATAATTTCAAACATGTATCCAATGTAGAAGACAATGCCTGCCCCCCCCACCAGATTTTTAATAACGACTATATGTTATTGTTTCCTTTTAGAAAAAGGCAGGAAATACGTGTTTCAACATGAAACTTAAATAACTGATACAATTTGTTTTCACCGCAGAAAAAGCAAAGCAACATAATTGTTATACATATTAAAAAATGTAATTTATCACTTGCTCAATAGACAGCTGGCAAATGTTGTTCAGCTTTTTTCAGTTTCACTCTCAAACACACCCTTAGCAAAATTGATTAAAAAATTCACCAAAAATTAATTAAAAAGCCAAACTGGGCTAGCATACAAACACAGAGATATAAAGTTGCAAATGTCACTCTTAACTTTTCAAGAGGAAAGTGCTCTGCTCTGCTAAGCTTTATTTGAAAAAAAAAAAAAAAAAAAGGAACGAAGGAGCACAAGATCTACATTTACTGTACATTAGAATGCCAGTAAAAGTTTTCCCTCAAAACTGCTGACGGAGAACAGTATCTTACTCCCAAGTGACTTTCAGTTTTGTTGGTGTCGCCTCCTCCAGATATAAAGACAACGTTGCAGACCTAGAAAACAAACTCCTAAAAACATGCATTTCTTAAGCACAGGAGGCAGCGGCCGGTTGGGGGGGGGGGGGAGTAGACTCTGTCCGGGAGCAGCACTGAATGTTAGCTGCGAACACAAGAGTAGAATAATTTTCTTTGTAAGTTCTGCAGCACCATTTCTAAATGCCATTGCTTAGAAAAGGGTCCTATGGAAAAAAGTAAAGTTTCCTCTTGTTCCCCGGCCCTACAGCACCACCATACAGCGAAACCCGACCAATCTGGCCTGCCCCTCCCCTCGACAGCCATATGGAGCCCCCCCCTCCCCGCACAGTTAATAGCATTTTCTAAGCTCTGGACAGAAAAAACGATTCCTAGGCAACCCCTGGAAATTGTTTTAACTACTGCTTGCACAAGATAAAAGCACTGTAATGTATAGATAATTCTTCCAACAGTATTGCAAGTATACATTCTCAGTATTTGCCCAAGCACATGTCAGTGGGTACCCCTGTTTCCTGTGAGAAACAGGTCGACAGAAAACGTATAGAAAAATATTTTACTATGTTGCTACTCATTTCACAGGTCCTGAATTGTTGAAAACTTCAGCACAATTTTACATTTTTGGGGAGTTCTGGCACCTTGTAAACTCATTCTGCAAAAACTGTTTGTATATATTTTTAAAAAAATACTATTTCCATGTTCATATATGAATTAATGTTTGATGAAAATGTATAAGCCAACTTCTTTCAAAAATAAGGTTTAAAGGAATTGGGTAGCATTTTAGCAAGAAATATATATATGAGTGTAAACAAAAATTACAAGCTATTATGTTTAATAATTATCAGTGGAAAGGAGTTCATAATTAAATTCAAAGTTTTTAAAATAAGCCAGGCCAATAGAGGTTTATAATCGCAATTATTACAATTATATTTTAAAAATGCACACTCACAGAAAATATAAGTTTTAACTCCCCCTTCAGAAAAGTGAATAATTTTGTAATAAAAATATAATGCAAAAATAGTAATTTTAAAATTGCTTTAAAAATAACTTGTAACACCTGTAAAATCATTTTTGTATTTATTTTGAAAATATATGTATTTCAGAAATTAGTGAATACTTGGATTTTTAGTGTAAACTAGGATAATTACAGTAATTGTTCATTTATTTTGCTCATATTGTGGACTTTTACCATTTTCACTACATTACTGGCTATTAAAAATGGGATTCACAAGTCTGTGTTTCAATGTAAATATGGCCTTTTAGCACCGAACTGTCGGTTGAATTCATTAAAAACAGGGCAACAAAACTATGAGAAATATTCAGCACGAAAACCAATTTGATATTTACGATTAAATATCATGCCCGGAAAGAGCCAAATTAAACTTTCTTTTTCCTCCTCTCATCTGGTAATGGTGGTGATGCAGTTTCCCTCTTAATTTCACTCCAAAGATCACGCAGCGACTGAAGGGTGAAGCGCTTCAAAGCCAGCTCAAACTTTTCTTTACTTTCCAGCTCATTTTTGTTGCAAGCGAACTTGGGGAGGGCTTGCGAGAGGAGAGGAAAAAACGGGGGTGCAATTTCAGGTCTTCGGGGACCACAGGCAATCGCGCCTCTGGTTAACCCCTTCGCCCCCGGGCCAAGTTGCAACGGTCCGCAACCCGGCCGGACCCCCTCCCCTCCGTTGGCGCGGGGCGGGGGGGCGATGCAGGAGGGGAGGGGGCGTCTTTCGGCTTCCAGCGAGGCTCCCCCTGTCACCTCCGCTGCCATCGCTCGCTCGGCACTGTCAGAAACCGCTCTCCCGTGTCTGCCGGCCGGGGCGAGGGGGGGCGAAACTGCGGGGGAGCGCTGGGGGGGCGAGGGGACGGGCGCGCGAGGAGCGGCTGCACGCCGAGCCTCGCCGCTCAGCCGACTCGGGCTGGCAGGAAAGGAGCGGGGCGCGCGGAGCGGGGCGAGGGGCCGGGGCGGGGAGCCGCGGGGATGTCGGCGCTGCCCGCCCGGGCTGGCCGCAGGGGCTCCGGGGCGGGCACCGCGGTCCGCGCTTCCCGCCCCGCAAACCCTGGCCCCCGGAGCCCCCTCCGGGCAGGCGGCCGCCCCGACGCCCGTCGGCATTCGCGGCACGCCATTCGCCGCGTCCGCGCGCAGCGG